AAAAAGAATAAGAAAATAATTCTTTGATAAAACGTTAGAGATAATAGCTGTTTCTTTTATATCATTTATATTTTAATCAAATGGCCTAGCAGCAGAGGACTTTTTTTTTTCTGGTACCGGGGATCAAACTCACGACCTTGTGCTTGCCGGGCAGGCGCTATACTGTGGAGCTAAATCCCCAGCCCCTAGCAGAGGACTTCTTAAACAGATAAATTCTTCTCTCACTTCCATCTCAACTCTATGTTTTAGTCAGTTTCCTTTCATTGAGAAAAGTGAGGAAATGTTCATTTTGGCTTATGGTTTCAGAGGTTTCAGTCCATGGTTTCTTGGCTTCCGTGCTTTTGGGATAATGGCGAGGTAGAACATCTCACAGGGTGCATGTTGTGAAGCACAGCTGTCCACCTTTCAGTAGCCAAGAAGCAGAGAAACTAATGAAGGGACCCAGCACAAGATATACCCTTGTAGGGCGTACTGCCAGTGATCTACTTTCTCCAATAAGGCCCTTCCTCCAAGTGTTTCACTACTTCCCAATAATGCCAGCAAATTATGAACCTGTCACTGGATTAATCCACTGATGAGATCAATGATCTCATAATTCAGTGCCCTGTGTTTTGGATCAATCTTCATCACCAAAGAATTTCGGGGACATTCCAGTTCTAAATTATAACCCTCCACTACTACATAATATACTTTTTATTATTCACAGGCATTATCTGTCTATTTATTTACTTGCTTATTTGTTACCTAAGATGTGTTTCTTGTCTCTACCCACTAGACAGGGACGATAAAAGGTGGACTGATCCAGTACCTTGAACAACTTTTGTTTTATAGCAGATATTGACCAATGAGTTCTATATATAACTATGATGTGCGGCCTGGTTTAACTATTTTAAACTATCTAATTTTAAACAAAAAGTAGAGATTAACAAAATGCTTATGCTTAACACTTTATCATACTTTCACAGGGACAAAATTGAGTATAAAACACTGTTTTTCACCTGAGCATATTTAATTGCCATATTTTTCTGCACACACAAAAAAACATTCTTATAAGGAGGCCAATTTCTTCTGACCTAGAGACTATAGTTAAGACATCAGCACTTACCTGGTGGCTCAGAACTCTCCAGTGATCTCAGGCTGGTTCTCCCCCTCGTTACAGAGATACTATGGTAGTCAGGAGTGAGCAAGGGGAACGTGCATTCTGATTTGGGGTAAGTCAGGAAGTTTCCGTGCTTCCACAGAAAGGGCTGCTGGGACATGGAAGGTGGAGCCTGAGACAAGGAAATCATGTACTGCAAGGTACATGCTATGAACCAACCCAGGGTCTGAGGAAGATGCCCAGGGGTGCAAGATGGGAAAGATGCAAGCACTCATTGGATGCAGTGGAGCAGATCTGTGAAGATGCCTCAAGCAAGGGGATAGGGTGGGTTGGAAGAGAGGAGCAACCCTTTCACAGAAGACAACTGTGACACAGTGGTGCTGGTGAGAATGGGGAGCTGTTTTTCTAAGTCAAGTAAGCAGTTTCTGAATTGGAAGCCTTGAAAATCCAAACTTTAAAAAAAATCATAGAGAACACCACATATTGGCACTTAAAGGTTAGAAAATGTGCAAGGGGGGTCGGATCACCCATGTGAGGCTATGGTACTGATATAAAATATGACAAATGACTTCTCAACCAGACATTAGGACACAAATGAGAATTTCCACCAGGGGGAAGTCATGGCTGAGTTGTGAGGGCAAATGGCTAACTGGCTCTGCACGCCAACTGTAAAGGATGGAGAGCAACATCCTCAGCAGGGGAACAGCTGCAAAAGGAAGAAAGAAGTGTGTGTAGGGTGTGCGTGGGCATTAGTTTGACTGCTCATCCTGGGGTCCCCTTAGGAAGGTAAACGTCTTCAGTAGCAAAATATTTTGATGAGCTCAGAAATGGGGACTGCTGTGGAACCAACCCACAAAGCAAAGTGCACAGACCTGAAGAGTTCTGTATAACAAAAATGGCTGGGGGAGAAGGAAGAGGTGGGAGAGAGCTGCCCAAGCCCTAGGGCGGGAACTGGAGACTCAGAAGAAAGGGGATACCGAGAATGTCTGGCAGGCAAGGCACTGAGCAGAAACAGAGCTATCTAAAGATATATGGCTCCAATCCCACATCCTGTGTAGGGTTGGATTGTGGAAAATCCCTGAAAAAGGTGTCACTTGTCAGAAGATTCGTACTAAGAGAAGATAAGGGATCGTAAATTGAAAGCAACTGGAAAGCAACTCCTTGAAGTGCCCAGGAGAGGCAAAAGTCCTGAGTTAGAGACCACAGACTTTCCTCAGACTGGGGAATGAGATACCTGGGAAATATGTACTTAATTCTTAAAGTCAGGGGCTTCTCAGATATAATCTAGGTTGTTGCCCATAAATATAAAAAATTACTGTCATATTAATCAAGAACATAACATTAGAAGCAGATTCTTCATCTCCTTTCTATACCTTCTTGGGACGTGTTTGGGGAACGGGAAGAAAAGAAGCGTTTTTATCACCCTAAAAATCATTTTTCCTCTGCTTCCTAGAGCACCAGGGGCCAAGAGATGAAGGTATACACATATGGTTCTTTCAAAAACACAATAGTGGAAAATCTTGTTTTTCTAAAATCTTACTATATAACATCCAATCTTGCCAAAGCAATTTTGATACATTATGGTTAATTCCCCTGCAATCTTTCAAAGGAGCATTTTGCTGAAGTACACAAATCTACATGGGGCTCTGTGACCAGCTTTAATCACAGTCTGTCAAAAGAGTTCTTTGTTTTCTGACAACAGTTTTTAACCTATGCAAGAGATCCTACACACTGAGTGCAAGTAATCAATTAAAAACTGAAGTTGTGCAATGTGAAATTCATATGAAAACTAAATTACGTATAATTAAGAGATACTTAGATTTCATATAATAAAAAGAACACAGACTTCTTCAATAAAGGCCAGTGAGATATGGGTGCCAGAGTTAACAAAATTGAGCAAAGAATTTTAGAAAACAAGCAGTGATATTTCGACTATAGAAAATTAACTTAGAAAATAAAATATTTTGTGAGTTTAAATTATTGCCGTAATGGCACTTAGAGGTATCGTTTATTGCACCCAGCTAAAACTGGGTGAAGGAAGAATTGCCCAAAGTGTAAAGCTGTGTGCTGTGGAAGGAAAAGAAATACAGCTTCTTTCTCACTATGAAGTTTATGAAATATTTGCTGCCAAGGACATTTTTTAAATATCTCAATACCTCTTAGCTTGATTAAGTAAAATGTTCTCCACAAGCTTGTCTCTGACAATGAGACAAGTGAGAACAATTTTCACTGTAATCATAAATAAAAACTAATGATTGAATTCATGTAATATCAACCCATGCCTCCCTCGGAATGCAGCTAACTCAGGCTGAAGACAAGGCCCTGGGTTTCTTAGAACTCTCAAACAGAAAACTTAGTCATCCTTGAGAAAGCTTTTCTAGCTGTTTACAATGAGTATTTGTAAAGATGACAATGTAAGAGGACCCTTGGAAAAATAGGTGAGTACTGGCCCTTTGTCAAGGGGAGCTCTTCCAGGTTGTGTCTGTCTGATATCACTTGGTTACCTGCCTGTCCTCAGTCACACTTGTGTAGGTTAGCTGAAGGTTTTTTTCATCATTCTTATATTAATCATTGTATTCAGATAAATAGAGGATGTGAGGGTGATCTGGCTGCAAAATCTGTCACCCCATTGATCGCCAGGGTTGATCAGATAAATAGAAAAAAATATGTAGGAGTGGGTAGCACCCTTGGAGTGGGCTGATCAAAGAGACCAAACATAAGGAAATAGTTGCTCTCAAAATAATAAGTCATTTAATCCTCTTTAACTTTCTGGAAGGTTAGTTACTATTACTATTCCCACTTTTGCAAACGAGGCAACAAAGACAGAGAGACTAGGTAACTTTGACAGTTTTAAAGCAAAAACACAGGTGAACAGAAATTCAAACAAAATCCTGAGAATCTGGGCCCAAAGATCATAAATTTAAGCATATTGTACACTTTGTGCTGTTTGCAGAGAAAACTATAAGGAAAAAGACGTGCCTACTACAGGCAATAAGAGGAATTGCAGGCAAAGCTGCACAAACCAAGCACAGAAAACAAGACCTCTTTCCTTATCCTCTTTCTTCACATTGCAAAGTTTTCATTATTCTGTAGCAGTTACAGTAAAACTATGTTTATAGATGATGGGTAAAGATTCCTTATACATTTCTGGGAAATAGAGAAACAAGCTAATAAGAGAAGAAATGTCTCTGTGCAGTCTTTCAGCATATGGAACTTCCTCAAGAACTGGTAACTACAGTATGCTTTGAGGACTGTTCAAAAATTCAAGAATTAACACATGAAGTGATACATCAAGTGTCACTAGGTAATATAGTATACCAGTGCTTTGCAAACTGTCTTGAGCGACTGTGGTGCTCCAAAGTCTCTTTAAATGATCTTCTACCCTAACTTTGACTCTACTTTTATATGCTTTACATATTGAACTTTCTACATGATTTTTTAATGAAAAAGTTCTATTTCTTAAAATGCATGTATGTTTAGAGACATTTTACTATCAGTTTTGCATAATAATAGATATAGTTTATTTATCCATACATTCACATTCATTCTTCTTCCTAGGTATTAGGAAAACAAAGTGAAGCCTCACACAGCCCCATGACTCAAGAATGTGCAATTTTAGGAACTGATCTAGTTTGAGAGCTGAAATGAATTAAAATGAATTATTGGCCCATGTCCTCTTTTTAAGGCTATGTAATCATAGCCAGTGTGTTGAGCTCCTTTCAGGGTTGCAAATTTTAACTTTTTGTTCATCACTGACAAAGGAATCTGAATGGCAGTCACTTGATTGTATTAGTCTGAGAAAAGTGAGAAAGGAAGATTTATGCTCACTTAAAGCCAGTGCCAATAAAAGCAGAACACTGTTATTTTTCTTTAAACGTGCAAAAATGGTTTCATTTCTTACCTCTAGAGCTTTCAGTCTTTCTAACAGCAATTTGGTTTTCTCTCTTCCCTCATCTGTACTGCTGCTTTCACTCCTTGAATCCTCATCTACCACCATGTGAAGAGTGTCCAAAGCTTCCTTGTGTTTTCTCTCTTCCTCTGACAGTTTTTCCTGAAGAAAGAAAGAATGATTGTTTTCATTAATCTCCAACTGGAAAATAAGAACTGATCCAAAGCCGAAAGGCTTGGAATTTCTCTATTGCTTTTACATTCTGTTCAGATCTGAGGTACAGAAGATTTTGATGAGCAAATTCTGGGTGATGCTTACATTAGTAAGCAGTTTACTGTTTTTACTTCACTCTAGCAGGTCAAACCCACTGAGTCTGGCTGGAGAGGGGACAAAGGCAGCAAAGCCCTGGGTGGAGGCGTGCAGTTAATCCATTTTTATCTGCACAATGGAGTCAGCTGAGCTTTAAACCAGAGGAAAATACATCGACCTTGATGCTTTGATTTGTGAAAGGCTTACTGCCTCAAAAATACAATCATTAAAGTCACTGGACACACAACCATTAATTTAAGGAAAAATGAAATATCATGAAATATTGAAATAGCAAATTCAGAATTTGAAGCTAGAAGTATTTAGTTCCTTCAGCTCAATAAAGACACAGTTTTTAAGGTGCCCTTAGTCCCTTTTCTAACCCTTCAGGAATTGTAACGCAGCCTTGAGGCAGACATAAAATGTTGTTATCTTGTCTTGCCTCCCAGTTGGAAGCTCTTTATTCAACCTTGTGTCTGGCAGCTTTTTGGAAGTTGAGAAGTGTTAATTTGAGACTCATGCTTTGCTCTTGTTTTCAGGGGAAGAAGAAATGTCAAGAGGATATCGTATGAACAAAATATGATCTGTTGTGTGGCTCCTTCAAGACCCCTGCTTCACACAGCCGGGTGAAATCACTCCATCATATTATTAATTTGAATCACACCCTGCAGAAATCTTTGCTTTAACATAGCCGGTTGCCAGCCATCTGGGCTAAACTGGATTATCAATGGTGAGAGACTTTTTATATTTAGTACTAAGCTAAGATCATTTGCAAATATACAAGAAAAAAAGATATAATTCTTACCCTTAAGAGACTCACATCATCTACTTAGAAACAACATAAGGAGACAAAGTCAGGTTTTCAAGGTGCTGGGGAGGTTCCAAAAGTATTTTAAATTATTTTTGAAAATGCATTATAAAGTATATAAAAACAACTGTCTTAATTCACATGTACATCTGTATATAATCATCTGTGTAAGTATATGTGTATATATATGTTTAAAACAATGGAAACTACAGGGCCGGTAAACTGATCCATGGTAATCTGTTTTGTACAGATTTGATAATTTATCCTGTCATCTCATGATATAAATAAATGCACAGTCATAGTTCTTTATGAAATCAGGCCCATAGATATTTAACCACATATATAATGTAGGGATACTCACTACCTGAGCAGGTATGAGTACAGCTACAAAAATTCTGGGTAAGTTTAAGGTACACATACACAGGGCAGAAAACAAATCAAGATTATGGTAGCATTTTTATAGCTTTGATTCTTTACGCATGTATGGCTATAGTCATACATTATGTATGGCTATAGTCATACATTCATTGCTTTGATAAAGAATATGAAGTTTGTACGTGCTATTAACAACTGAACTTTGAAACCAAGAAGTATATTTGCATCTCTTAAGATTTGGGATGAGTATAGTTAATTACTAAATTGGGGTTATAAAACAAACATTTTTAAAGTACAATTTTTATCTCCTTCTCAATGTATATTATAGGTTTTCGTTGCTCCCTTAGCAAATTATACTTGTATTTTCCATACACCCCTACTCTGCAATCTGTAATAATTAGGACTCCATTGCTGATTAAAACAAATAAAAACCACTGGTATGGGAAATAGAAACTGGAATCTGACAGCCACATTCCAAATCTACTACCTACTAGCTTGCCAAATGATCATAGACAAACTATTTGATTATAACATGTCTTTATTTTTTGCTTCCTAGGCAACACTAATGTCATACATAAGGTGTGACTGAAAAAAAACAGTGAACATTTAAATTAAGATAAATATTGCAACAAAAGACACATTGCCATCAATCCCCCTCAAGACATTTCCTCTCACTTCATACGCACTTATACCATCATTCTTAACACTTTTACTCATTTTTTCATATTTTTTTACCTTTAACACACATTTTCTAGCTATGCGTTTACTAGTACACGGGTGTAGTACCTGAGGTTTGCATTCCCTGGAGGATAGGAAGTCAGCACATGTACATAAAACATCTTCATGTCCCGCAGCTCTTGATCCTCTCCCTTTTTTGTACATGATTCAGTACATATTGTTTACAGTCCTTGTGTATACAGTAGTCAGTACATGCACAGGATACATCTTAATTCTTTTCTATCCACTGTATCTCCCCATCCCTTCCCCCTGCCTCCCTCCCTTGATGCCCTTCCCCTTTGGGAGAGATTTATCATCCTACTTCTTTTTATCTATCTTTGATTTTGCTCTTTATTTGTACTTTGAGAATCTCATATAAGAGAAATCACAGCATATTGAAGAGCATGTATCTGATTTACTTCATTTAACATTAGGGTCTCTGAAGCAGTTCTGGAAGTTCTCTTTCATGAGTGTCTTTAGTTGTGCTATTGTGGCTGGCTCAGTGTCCTGAACTGACTCAGAACGTTTACCTTTCAGGGTCATTCTGAATTTAGGGTGAGTCAGAAGTCACCTGGTGCTCCCTGCATAGAAGAAGGTGGATGAAGACACATCAGAATGTTTTCATGAGCCTGCCTTTCTATTGGATGGCATTTGGCAGCAGCAGTCACTGTATTCTTTTATCTCACCTCATAAACACACTCATGAAAGAGGACTCCTAGAACTGCTTGAGAAAGTAGAAGGAACAATGAAATAAATGTGTTCGAATCAAGGGGTAGTGTTTTGATGAGGCTTAATGGCAACTTGGTTATTATAATTAAAAAAATAAACATTACACATTTTGATGACACTTCATACATACTCATCATACAAAGTCAATTATAATTATTCACAGTAGTTATGTTCTATAATATTGTCAAGAACACTATATTAGTGAATATTGAATCATTGCTCCTAGAAGGAAACACAGAGGAAGGTTCCCTGAGCACCTGATCACACAGCTTCATTAACCAATCAATACATAACTTTATATTATGTGTGTTTCTATTAAAGGCATCTGGTTTCATCTATATTGTCAACTCATTGTCACTGAAATAGTCAAATGGATGATAAATTATCCCCCCAAAAAGCTTATGAATACCTATTTTTCAGTTAGGCACATTAGCGTCTCAACAGCATGCTTGGGTACCATTTTAAAACCACCAATGGGGGCTGGGGATTTAGCTCAGCGGCAAAAGCGCCTGCCTGGCAAGCGCAAGGTCGTGAGTTCAGTTCCTGGTACCGGAGAAAAACCAAAAACCAAAAAAAAAAAAAAAAACCACCAATGGAAAGCTTACGATACAAAAAACAGGGTACTAAACAGACTGCAAATAGAACACTTGTTTATTGTATGAGAGGTAAAACAAGCAGGTAGAGTATTTCTCTGTTAGATTTTAGCTAGGAATATGACTGTCAGACGAGGCCAATACTTCACTGCTCTCATGTCCATGAATAACTGTGAAAGGACCACAAAGAGTAACTGGGGTTGCAGATAAATGTCAGTGAATAGACAATTTACAAATGCAGACCGCCCCCCATGAGGGTCTACTGTCCATAACAAACACATTTAAATATTTAATATTAAAGCCTAGACACAGTGCTTAAATATTATGTGAAACAAATGGAAATAATTCAAGATCATATATAAAGTATATGTGAGTATTTGAATGACATGAAATTCAAGGGTTATTTTCCATAATCTGATAAAGGGAAAATTAACCAGGGTAGTGAAATTTCCTGGAAATAAAATGTGAATTAAACTTTGACAGAGTGATTGTTAGAGAGACATAGGGTGGCATTTTGGTCAGTGCGATATTGAAAAAGGCTCCTATTTGGCACTAAGATTTTCTTTATTGGTTTATGAGGTAACCATTTTGTTTACAGCACAGAAACAATTTTTGAGAGAGTACTTCAGAAACAGGATCAAAAGGTAAGGAAGGCAAAAGATTCTTGGAAATGAGACAAAAATTTAGACATGCTTCTTTTATTTATTTGTTTAACCAACAAAAGTTTACTGAACATTGACTACTGGTCATTTGCTAAACTATGTGCTAGAAATATGAAAAGCAAAATAAAGTTCCTATATTTCATGAAACTATCTTCTAATGTTTGGAAACATGACAATTTCCAAAACCTATTGTCTTGTTTTCTTCTCTTGTTTCTGAGACAAAATACCCAACACCTGAAATTAAGGAAGGAAAGGTTTATTTAGCTCACAGTTGGTGGAGGTTTCAGTCCATACTTAGTCAGCTCCAAGGCAGAATGGCACATGGCAGAGGGCAACTGTTCATGGTGGTAGAAAACAGCAAAAGCAACAAGGACATATGGGGAAGGGCTGCAGCAAGCAGCCTCTTTCCCTCCCTTACATTGTATGCAAACTATCCACCCCAGGGCAGGTGTAGCACTCACATCCACAATTCCAACATTGGATCCTGAATCAATTATAAACTCTAGAAGCCCGGCTCATGACTGCATGAGGCTTTGGGGGGACATCCAGAACCAAACCATAACACTTATGAAGACGACATAACTGTGGCTACTGATAAATGCTACGTAGAACATACTATGAGAAACAGCGGTCTGGCCTGAGACATTAGATATGACAACATCAGAATAAAGCTACCACAGGTGTCCCTATGAGTTGACACCAAATGATGAGAAAGAAGCCCTGGTGCAATGATCTGGGAAAAGAGATTCCCAAACAGAAGGTAAACAAAGCCCCTTGGGGGGCTCTGCTTGTCTTGCCAGCTGAGGCAGGGTCTCTGTGGTAGAACAGGGTGACAGCAAGAGGAAGACAAGCAGGAAAGGAACTCAGATTCTATTCTAAGTAGATAATGAGGAACAGGAGGCTCAGCAAGGGAGTGGTAAGTTCTGATGTGTATATTGGAATGATCATCCTGACTGCTGCAATGGAAAAGGA